TTATTTCTGTTACCCATCTGAAAGATTAAGTGCCCTGGCAGGGATCCTTTCAACCGTAATTCATATAAAACAACCTATATGCCTAAACTTTAATTGTACACAGCTATGTGACTATCCAGTATTACTCTTGGTTATATGGCTAAGATTTCTTTGATTAAAAAAAGCTGTGTAGAAATGATTCACTCAGGATGTGCACCATGACATTGTCCAACCTGATTGAATTCTAGCTGGTTTCATTCTTTTGCCAAATAGATAATATTTTGTCACAACAGACTGTTAATTTTGTAGGGGTAGAAAGTCTTCAAGGGAATAACAATAATTCTAAAGAATCAAGGTAGGCAGAGAGGAGAAGCAAAGGTCAAATCTTTGAGTCACAGCTAAATCTTGTGTCACGATTGAGAAGAAACAGTCAAAAAAAAAAACTTTAATCATACCTTTATATCTATAGGTCAGCTGGGACAAACCAACTGTGTGAACTTCACTAATATGTATTTTATCCCTGCTGATTTATTATATTGTCAGGGCTGGAGTGTAATTCTATTTTGTGCTCTGAAATAAAGGTGTCAGTTATTGATGTGAAATAGCAGCATCCTTGAAAGAGAATAAGTAAGAAGGTTGAAAACTGAGAGTCTGTGAAGAACAACCTAGACTAGAGAATATTTTCTTTGAAATAAACCCTTTAGCAGAATACAAATTCACATGGTTAGTGCCAGTGATCTGTTAGGGAAATAAATAACAAAATGATGAAATCCAGGTCTATCTCCATTTATAAACTACCCTCTCTCCCTAGTTTTGTTCGTCATGATCTTGACACTGCTATTTCTGAATATCAGAAATTCTGAATATATCTGCAAGAGGAAGACAGACCCATATCATTCCTCCAGATGTAGTTAGGGATGAATTCTGACTGAAGTGTTATCTGCATAGCATGAAAGGGAGCCACAGCAGCTCTGTGATACAGGGGCACACAGTCCACCATACCATCTGGCCAGGCTAGAATAATCTCAGTAATGGCCCATACTAAAGTTTTGAATCATCTATTACTACTACTGTGCACACATGTAATAGTGTGCTTGAGACTGGCTGCATGGGGTAGAAGAGAAGTAGTCCAGGTTCGCCTCAGGAAATCACTGCGTTTGTGGGGGACACTGCTTTGACCTATATTTTTGCTGAGTGCTTACAGATTTGTCTATGTGGTGTTTGATCCAGGAATGAGCTCTAGATGGATCAGACGAAGACACGTGACTTTTTCTGTTGCTAAAAGGTGTCAGCTCTGCTTGTTACAATGAGTAGATGAGGTGTTGGGACAGACAGAGGAGCATACGGTGGTGAGCCTCAGAGACTATTGTACAAGGAGCTACATAACCAGAAGGCTGATTTGGGCCTCCTCCAGTGTTCAGAGGGAAGGTACACACCCAGTTGCAGCATATGAACATTTTGAACAAACCTTACCATCAGCTTGGTGAGGACATAAAAGCGCAAAGAAACTCTCAAGTTACAGAAAGAACCTGTAGCAAATAAGTAAGAGTGCAGCTCTTCAATGCCTTACCTTTTCGAGAAAATTTAACCTATAAAGAGAGAAACCACCATGAGGTATAACTTCTCCAAACTTTGAAGTCGTCAAGCCTGGCAAGTTTATATTAAATGACCATAATATAATATGACCCTTTTCACCCTACAGGAACTCCCAAACTCCTTATAATGAATTTTAAGCATCCAAAGACACTATTTTCTCCCAGAACGACTGATAGCAGTCTTCACAGCAGAGTAAAATCTCTCACTGGTGGCTTATAAAACTGCTAAAAACAAAGCAAAACTCAGGTTGCTTTACAGAATAATACAATTATCACATTTGTTGAAAGATGAATGTGTAAGTTGATTCCCATTCCACTTATCCTACAGACTGTACCAAAACATCCTATATTCACCTGTAAGCTCCTTGTTTCATGCTTGCATCTAAACAAACTAAGTCATAGTTTTACAACTTTCTACAGGATAAAACTGAGAACTCATTAACCTCTCAGAGAGAGCTGAACCATCACTTCAAATCAACTGTTTTCTGCCCTGTTTTGTTTTTTATTATTTTGCACTGAATTAATGAGTAATTAAATGAAGAATATGCTCTTCCTGGTTCTTACTTCCTCACTATAATGCAGTACCTGCCTGAGTTTGTGCAGTGCTGGATCACTTACTTTGAGAAATTGGTGTATTGTATCAAAAACAAGCAAGAGAAGATGAAAAGCAACAAGAAGCAGATAAAAAAACATAAGACTTCTCTGATAAATTAGAGGTCATATTTTGTTACCAGGAGTTTTAAAAAGATCCTTTGTGTACTGCCTGTGCAGTATTTAAGGAGCTAATATTGTATGACTGCTGCTAAAATAGGCAGGAAAATTGATAGAAATCATTAAAGAGGAAGATTAAAGTATAAAAAATGAATTGTTATAAGTACAGTACCATGCCCCACATCACTCCAAGAGTGACATTTTGCAGATCTCCAAGGTAAAAGGACTCTGAACTGTTCCTAAATCATAATGTCACAGCATTTAACGTTACTTTTCCTATAGAAATTTAACCAGAAATTGTCTATAATCAGTTTCTTATTCAATAGATTTTCAACAGCTGGAAAATGGATGATATTTCAACCCTATTGCATCTAAAATTAGCTAGATCTGAGATAGCAACTACTGAATGTGTTCTACTGACTTTTGCCCAGGTAGCAATCTGGATGATCTTCATTTCATGTTAGCAAAGAAGTGCTATATAGAATGTCTCTTGACAGAAATAATACGTTATATAAATGAACAATGGCAAATGGGAAGCACTGTGCTCAGCTGTCATTTTAAATTCCTGTTGGGCTGTAATGCCATGAGTATCCAGTATTCAGGTAGAAGCCATCAATAAGAAAGGTCTTATTAACTGTGTGGTAAGCCTCCCAATTAAGTTTAATCACCCTGTAAGTTCTGATGTCAGAACAGGACAAACTGTCAAAAGGTCATTGCTCATATCACTGCATTTTATTGCAGTCAGTGAAAGGCTTTGGGACAATCTAGCTATTTTTCCCTTATGTCATTTGTGGACATTTTGCAACATGAAAAGTTATCTGAAACGATTTAAAAAATCTTCTGGGGTTAAATTCTTCTCTTGCTTTTGTGGTTGACAAGAGAAAACAGAGTATTGGCCTTCAGTTGTGATCATCAAAGCTACTGCAATTGGGCAGCTCTAGCAGACTGTTCAGAGGCAATGCAGGTGCAGTGAAGATAATGTCATGCTCATTACATGACCAGATTCATAAAAAAGGTAAGAAATCCAAAGCAGTCAGCATCAACCCTCATCAACAGCACACAAACTCACTTGACTGCAACTGTAAATTTTAAAAACGTTGAGTTTCATGTTCTTTCACAAAGCACGAAAATGCCGGAGTTAACTCCCACTGTGTCCTAAAGTCCTGGACCATACAGGTACTTGGTGACACTCACTGCATCTGCCCAAGCTGTGTCAGCTCGTTCTCCTAGGGACAAGCATGATTACACAGAAGCCAATGGAAACAAAACTGAGGTCATTATTTGGACAAGCCTTTGCCAAGCAGAAGAAACCAAATGTGCCCATACAGATAGAAAATGGCATTTAAGAGATAAAAATCTGTTCTATGTCAGCAGTGCAGCCAAAAAAAAAGTAGCCCTTGGCCAAAGCGAGTTCCAGACATTCAATTCTGTCTAAAAGTGGCATTTCAATTTGTGTATTTAAGCCTTGCAGACATTTTACTATAAAAGAATAATCTATTTCAAATGGAAAGGTTTAAACTTGTACATATAGGGGTTTTTTAATGCTTTTGGCAAGACATAGAAACAGAAACTGTAAATATTAGAAACAGATGCTCACTGAGATAAAAGCAGAGGAGTGCTTTAGGACTGAAGAACTATAACAAGCAGTCCACCATGCAATGGTATAATGGCTGTGGGTAGACTCCCAGCAGTGATTTAATTTTTTTCTCTTAGAAGTTGAAATAAACTGATTCCCTATTTATAAATTTAAAAGAAAAAAAAAGTTTCACTAATATTTCCTGTTTAAATTAATCTGTGTTATGTAACATTACACTATAACGTTTTGTGAAATGCAGCTCATTTTTTTAAATCTGCAAAGCATTTCCAAATAGCGAAGTATTTTCCCCTTGTCATTATGTTTGTGGTTGTTTACTTTGGCTGAACACCAGATATCTACGGAGTCTGCGCCCAGTTCCCCAGGGAGAAGGGGAAGGCGGGGGGAAGGGAAAAAGAGGAAGACAAAACGAAACTACTTCAGGGTTGCTAAGGAAAATTCTTTATATTTACACCAAGATAGAAAAAAAAATTATAAGCAATATGCATACAAAGAAGAACTAAAAATAAAGATACTTCCCACACAACCGACGCCTTTCTTCCCCCCAAAGGAACTGACCCAAAAACCACTTTGCTCAGTGCCCGGAAGAGAAGAGAGAGAGTTCTCTTCCTTCCATCTCTTTATATATCTGGGCTGATATAACGTGGTATGGAATATCTTGTTCCTCCCGGGGAAAAGGAAGTGTCATTTAACTACACAAAACCACTACAATCTTTTACCTCATTTTTTTGTGCAGTATAACTTAAAATACTGAGAAATGTTGTGAAATATTTAATTTTGTTTTGAAATTATGATTTTAAAGAGAATTGAAAACTGCATTGCTCAAATGCACTGGATTTCTATGTTCAAAACTCTTCTATAGTTCCCTTCTGGTATGATTTAGGAAGTTCTCAAAGAAGGGAAAATAAAGTGACACTAACACATTTATCACTCTCCTGAAATCTGTGCTTCATGACTCCTTGTATTCTCTAAAACTGGGAGAAAGACCCACTGCTGAGTAAAGGGGGAATAGGTGGGGGAAAGGCTGTCAGTGATGTCACAAACCACTCCCACATAAAGTCCATTTCAGTGCATCCTATTCCGCAAAAGTCCTTAAAGGCACACTGACCACAGAAGCAATTCTTGAGTGCCTTACTAAATCATGACCTGAAAATGTCTTTGAAACCACAGGTCTCTTCTTGGATATTTTCAGATGACAGATGGTGTCAAGGTAGCCTTGAGCAACTGGAAGAGAAAGCCACCAACTCCAGTGCCAGACCTAACACATATGGATCTGACCTGCACCAGCTACATCAAGATATCCCAATTCATTAAGCTCTATTTCCAGAACACACTTTTCTATGAGGAGCTCTCCTGTTTCAAAGGTAACAAGGCACATTTTGGATGGGCAGTGCAAAACTGGCAGCTAACTTTCATGTAGGCCTAGATTTATTGGCCTGATTTTCAGAGTAAATCTGAGTTGAAACACTCGAATGAAAAAAACAATCAATATTGAACCATTTAAGCATATATGAATTTGCAAGGAAATATGCAATCACTAGTCAACTGTCAATATATTTAATTTTTCATTTTATTTTACAACAATCCATTTGCTGATGCAATATCCAAAAAGTAGACTTGACTTCTACTTTGAAACACTTGTGAAATGTTAAATGGGAAAAAGAACAACTTTCGAAAGAAAATAGCTCTGCTAGCACAATTTACACATCTACTTTTTTCTCAGGAAACCACTTGACCTTTTAAAAACATACTGAGACCCACTATGTTGAAATTAAATAAGGATATTATCATCTTTCTAGCTTTATGAACTCTTGTAACTTCTCTAACACGAAGCTCTAATGCATTATTAAAATATAATGTAATATGCTATTTAAATTATTTTTATTTCTAAATGATGGTACTGGGAAAGGTGAAGTATTAAATAAGCATCTAATTCTAAGCAGATAATACGCTAAAAGCTAAAACATGCAGATGACTTACTAATAAAATATTAACACAGTCCAGCTTAATAAGCATATTTCAGGATAAAAATTCAGGACTTCAGGCAGAAGGACTACCTCAGTCCATCGGTCTACTGTCCATCCTCACCCACGAAAGTACTGGCATGGACTGAATAGATTAGATGGAAAAACAAAACTGCCTGCCATCCCTGTTTTTGTTAATATGTGCACAGATTTGCCACTGCTTCTAAAGTAGAACACTAAACTTACAAACAAATTTTCATGGCTGAGGTATATTCAGTTAGCACTAATATATGTCTAACTGCCAGGACGGGTTGTTACCATCAGTAAAGTAAAAGGCTAAAACACGATTCTGACAAAGATAGGAGCAACATCCCATTTTGTTTTCCGCACAGAACACCCATGGTACTCATATCCATAGAGCAATAAGAGATAAGGGAAGTCTACAGGCAGTAGATTATTTTGACACGCTGTTGCAACATGGCTCATCTCTCCAGCTCAGCTGGAAAAGCTGTACACAATCTTACTCCTTAGAATGCTCTTTAAGTAAAGTCAGCTACTGGAAAAATTACATGTAACAAACTGGGAGCCATCAGATAGAATGGATATGTGAGTAGCTAACTAAGAGTCATTTTCCTAGCTACAAGGACTTATGGATGTATAAACATATGAAGCTGAGAAAGATGAAGATAAATGATACATTATGATTAATATTTTCAGTATTCTTTTTGCTCTTTTGCAGGTACATTCTCAGTTTAATGCAATAGGACTGACATGCTTAAGGCATTGTGTAGCTGCTGTTTAGCACAGTAATGTTTCTGGATATAGAAATTATACCTGGAAACATTATTTTTTCTGGTCTGACTTGGCTAATTCCTGGAAAGTTATAGTTATATCTGCATTATGAACACATTCCTACCAGAGCATTATTCTTATATTGATAATACATTCCTAATAAAGATGTAGGTGTAATCTGATCTGCACACCACAGGATATGACTATTGACCCACTAGATCCTGTATTCAGCCATAAAACTATTCTTTGGTTAATTCATAACCTGTAACGGGCTCAAACAGGACTTCCAGGAAAATATCTTCTCCTAATGTGATGACACACCACAGAGGAAAATCTGTCAGTAGTGAATTCCAAGGCTCACTGTTGAAATTATGTGCTCTATATTTTCCATGTATTTCTTAGTTTTGGTTATAGCTTTCTAGGAACACCTTAGGAGTACTGTAAGAGTACTGTTTTATCCTCCTGAAAGCACTTAAACTGTAATTGAGTCACTGCGTAGTTTTCCTTTTTGACACTATAAATCACTTGAGACAGTGCTTCTTTGGGGATCTTGTTAAACATGCACCAATTTGGTTTTTTCTATGGAACCACAGACCTCAGGTACAGAGTTTGATACCTGTTCCAGAGCTGATTTCCAAGTGCTGTAAAGGGCAATAAAATCCTTCCCATTTCTTAACCTTTTAGCCTTTTGTGCCCACAAAGTGATTTCCATGAACTCCTTTGTCACAGCATCGCATAGTATTTCATACAGAGTAACCTGGAAGATGAGACCCCCACAAGTGTCTTCCTGGAATGATACTTTCTCAGGACATTGTCTACATTGCCATAACCTTTCCTCCTTTGCCTTAGACCCCTGCAACTTTCTTCAAATCCTCCTGGCTTCCCAACCAATCACGTCAGCACATTGCATTTGCCCTGCTCTCTCTATTATTTACCACTTTTCTTGTCTTTATAACAATCACACATCATCAGCAATGACTTTATGCAGACTTCAGTGCCATTTATAAAAGTGTTAGGTATTTTTGAGCCAGTAGAGAACCCCAGTGCATGTGTTTCTGGCCAGTGAACGCTCCTTGTTGAGGACCATCAGTTGTACGCAATACTGAGTTTATTAGCTCAAGCTGACTAATAAAAAATTAACTATATTGACTGCTCATCACTTCTGTGAAGAGTATCCATCAGCTTTTGGACTGACAATGAGAGGTGTGGCTGCGATATGCAGGTTCCCTAAAGTCATTGCCACACTGCACACTGCAGTACTGCTTCTCTATGGATTGTGATTTGGCTCTTAAAGGATGATTTTTACACACAGGATACCTATGAGCCCCAGGGAAATTAAAAAGGGGAGGAGGAACCCTGAAACTGAGCCTGAAACTTCTCTGTCCAAATCCTTCATGTGTACCGTATCCTACCACAGCCTTCTGGAGTTGACAGTGCAGCCATAGCACTGTCATGAGTTGGAGTATGTATTTCAGTTCAGATAAAAACACACATAAATTTGCATGGGAGAGAACTACAGGACTAGGACCCTGAAGTGAGATGCTCAAGAATCCTTTGGTTGAAAATTACCCTGAGGCAATCGCCACGCTCTGAAAAGGAGAGCATACTTTCAGGATTTAGCCCTATACCCAGCTATAGTTACATTTTTAGCACAATTTATTCTTTTGAAAAGGACATATTTATTCTTATCTCCCTATTGTGCAACCATAATTTTAAAATTTTAAACCAGTGCTCTATTAATGCCCATCAGTTCTGTAAAACAGGAATATCAAAACTCTCTTTAGATATACTTAACTGTGACAATATTGTGTTTCATTCAATTTTTAATGTCCACTAAACCTGGTGCTGTAACAGAAAAAAACACTTAACTCCTTAGAAATAGTCCACTGAGGAAAATAAACCATTCATATCTCAATTAAACTAATTTGTAAAAGCATAATTTCATTGCCTTTAATTCAGCTAACTTCTGCATGTAAAGGGTTGAAATCAGGATGCCCTTTACAAAATGTTTCATGCTTCTGATTCACTGAGAGATACTCAACTTCTGCTTCAAATTTATTTGAAATTATGTATACTACAAAATCTGACTCTTGGGAAGCTAATAAGGGTTCTATAAATCATATAAAGTTGTGGTTTTCTTTTTTCTGACAGGTAGGATAGACTGAAAAAAAAAAAACAAACATCCTGTGGCTTAACTATACTTTGCTAGGGTCAAGGTAGCTCTTTAAACACTTCTTGAATACTCTGAACTTAATTTTAAATGCATGATACAATACAACAGTCCTGTAGAATTGGTTGCAAACAAAGTACCATTAATCTCAATCCAAAGTATTAAAGAAAAAGTTATTTTGACAGTGTGGATGCTGCAGTTGCAAGATGTTTTCTTCTTTTTTTTTAACCAACAGGGGTTAAGACTGAAGAAAGCTAATCACACCACAGGATGAAGAGATTGTTGCACAGCTGCTCTCCTACGTTCACATAGTACAAAGGGGAAACACAGAGTCTAAAGAATGCACATACTCACATGTTCCAGACAGCAATGATTTGTGTCCTTCTGGATACCTGCTTAATGAAGTTTGGTCTCTGGAAAATATATCTAGGACAGAGCAGGGTGCTGTTTTCCCTGCTGCAGTATGAATTATAGTGACTGTTTCTGAATTAGTTAGTTTAATGGAAGTTCTTATCCTGAAGACATAAAGTACTATTCTGCTGTCACACCTCATGACACCAGTAAAATATATTTGGGACACATGCACAAATGTGCCCCAAATAAAAAAAAACAACCTCATCTTCCAAGAGCACCTAAAACACAATAGCACTGCAGAGAAATTAATTTTGTTTTCCATATGATAGATTGTCTGGTTGGAAGGCTCAACGCTGCATTGATTTGTTCTGTCCTGAGAAAGGCTCCCATTTCAGACTGACTTCAGGGTTGCCCCAGAAGCTAATGGAAACAAACTGCATTGCAGAAGGAGCACACGGCAGAAGTACACTGTCATACTCTGATCTTGCATGCTCTACCAGCCACTGGGAGCTTTAATATCAGCCTTAGAGCAAACACATGTGTATTCACATCAAGTAAGGGGCACCATCACAAACATATCAGCCTAAGTGTTACACAAAAGTCATTTTACTGAGGGGATTGAGTAACAGGTTTGACTTAGTGAGTGACATGTTATATATAAAGTCCTGTGTAATGAGAGAGTTATGAACACACTGGAGGCTGAAAGGAAAGAGAAATAAAGGAATCTGGTGTTCAAAGCTTTGTGTTGACAACATGGTCCTGCCACAGGGAGAGAAAAGGAGAATGAAAAGTATCTTTTAAGTCACTGATCCTGTCAGAGATACCAGCATTATATTGTTAAGGAAACTAAGTAGCTAAAATTCCTTGGTAAAGAATTTTATTGAATTGTTCTCTTCTTAACCAACAACATGTTAATCCTCCACTTCTAACTTATCCTACTACATTGGATAAGGTGTGATACTGCAGGTTTCACATAAAACCTATGCCAAGACAAATAAAAGTTTGTAAAAAATCTCAAAGTATTGGCAATATTTCATCTTTTGTGATCTGACTTTTGGGGATTGCTAATAGATAATGGCCTTCCTGAAGAGGCAAAAGGGACCAACACGGATTTGCCATGCTTCATTCTGAGATCTGTTTTCATTTCCACTTTCTTTCTCTAACTTGAATCCGTACAGCTTGTGGTCTCCTTCAGATATTCCATTTCCATCTCACTCTGTGCCTAATTATGGTAAGCAGGTGCCCATCCTCTGCCACAAGACACAGAAAGAGCAGATATCTCTCTTCCAGTATTTTAGAACACCTTTTTCTGAATTACCATTCATTTAACATTTTCTTTCTCCTTCTATTATGCCGCCTTGCTGTATTTAACTGAAAGGTGTTATACCTTCTGTGATCAAGTAATGACAACTGTGCCACACATTTTATCAAGATCTGAATTTAATTACAGGATCTATCAAGCCTAAGAAGGGATGAGCCTTTATATTTCGTCAGGATATCCAAGATGAAAAATAAAGGAAAAAAAAAATCTTCCTGCAGACTTAGAGAGGCATTATTATAGAGCATTATCTGACAGAAAGACCTGATAAGCTGTCAAATTAAAAATCTGATTTGGGAAACTTTAGTGAAACCACTTTTTGAAAAGAGACTTGCTGTAGTGTCTTGTTTGGGTATCACCTAGGCTCTTTATTTAAAGATGACAGCAGGATAGAACAATTTCATAATCTCTCAAAGGGCAGCAGTGCTTTTTTAAAAAAATAATTCATTGACTTTGGGTAAGCTGCAACAGAGGCTCACCAAAGAGAATGGGAATATAAATTGCCATTTTTCTTAACATCAATCTTTCACATGAACAATAAAATGGTATGAAAAGTGAGACCTGGATACATGCTGAAAAATACATTTAATCATAACCAAGGAGCAGTCAGACCTGTATGAATCAGAAAAACATGCAAGAAATCAGTTGTGAAATTACACCTCGGCAAAGGGAAGGTAGCACGCTGGCCTAGTTACATCCATCACTTAACTGCTGGTTTGTGTCTCAGTAACTAAGATTAATTTTTCATGTATTTTGATTCCTGCTTCTTCCAAGATAGTTTCTTCGATCTTACTTTACTCTGGAGAACCTGTGCAATTGAGTTTTGAATATTTTCTTGCCTTATTTTTAATTCTCCATGCCATTATTTTACACACTGGTAGAACAACTTCTTTAATTCATGTAATAACTGAACATCATAATATGAGTATAGGTAGATATCAGCTTCCTCGAATATTCATTGAAGATTTTTTCCATATGAAACAAACAAAAAATAATGCTATTTTAGCTTTGCTTTGGACAAGTAATAAAAACATCATAGAACAGTTAATTGTAGTTCACATTTTTTGATTGAGTGATCATGATTTGACTCAAATTAACACAAGGGCAACTAAAAATAAGCCTGTAAATCAGATTCTTGATTTCAAAAGACCCAAATCTGATCAGGTGAAGGAAATCAGATTGTGTAATCAGTATGAGGGGTTGGATTCAGCCAGGAACAACACTTGGAAATTCTATAAGGTAAGGTATTAAAATAATATTTTTTTTTTTAATTTGCATCTGCAAGGTTAAAAATATACAAGGGGAAACCTCATAGACTGACTACATAATTATCTATGCTATTATAGACTATATTAGGAGGTTAAAACGCCAGACTTGCTCAGCAAAGAAAGCAGTGGCTTTCAGAATTAGAAAAATAAAAAAATACATAAGTAAAGTTGCCAAAACTTAGGCTCAAAGGATGTTCCACAGAAAATAAAATAGATTTAAAAGCCAGAGATTCTTAAGTGCTATAAACAAAAAGAGATCATAGAGTCAAGAGGAGTCACTTTATAGTGAGGTTGATGATGATCTTGGCTGATATTCAGCAGACTGAATTGACTAACAGAAATGTGTCTATGAAGACGTAGATCTCCACAGCTCAAAAAAAAAGCAATATCCATATTTTTAATGAACTTGTGGGGTCAGAAACAGAGGAAGATGATCTCTATCCCAAAACTGTAAAATAACAAGCCAGGAGTTTTTAAATACAGCTATCCAATGGGGCATGTTACTTCTTGTATTAGAGAACAGAAAGTGTAATAGCTTTACATGAGAAAAACTAAAAGCCACCCAGTCAAACTATTTAGTCTGACCTTAGCCATACATGATGCTTTAGAACAAATTTGAAAGGAAAGAAATAAAGACGTGGAAGTAACTGGAAAATGAGATAAAATGCAAAACTTTACCAAATCATGTTAGACTAATCTAATAGCTCTATTTGATAAGATAAGTGATTTTCTAGATGAAGGAAATGGAGTATATCTAATTTATCTGGATTTCAGTAAAGCATTCAATATGATGCCATGTAGCAAATCATTGATTAACTGTGGAAAAAAAATAGAGTGCAAAAATTGTGTAGTAAAGAGTGGAATAAAAAAAACAACAAAGGATAGTATCGAACAAGGATTTTTTTTTTCTCTCCTCCTTCCTCTCTCTCATGTAGAGACCATAGCCTGATATCCTGCTTCTGTAGCTATTGACAGCCTTCTGAATAAAAGGTCACACTCAAGGTGCCCATATTCCCAGGATGCAAGCCTCTTTCAGGAACTAGCTAGTGCATTGGAATCTTCTTCTCCCTAATACTCCCACTTCATTACGATGTCTTCTTTAGCTCCTTGGTGAATCATTCACACAGATGACAGTCATTGCTTGTCACATTCAGACCTGCCAATATGTCAACTACACCATATTCTGGTCCTCATGTTCCCCACAATATTATCTATATTTGCAAAATAAAAATCCTCAAGAAACAGTATATTGGTCAGGTCTACCAAAGCTCTCCAAGTATTTTGGAGAGCTGATGCCATCTAGTTGAATGAGTGGAAGATCTAAGTGTGCTTAAGTCAAGCAAACATGATAATGTAGAACTCAGCATTTAGTTTATCAGGATGAATATTATGGTGACTTTCAAACCTGCATTGGACTGTGCCACTGGAGCTACCACAGCAACCACTGGAGATATGGACGTAAGGAAAACCAGTGGTTTTCCCACAGAAGAACTAACAGGGTGGAACTCCTAAGAAAGTACCTGAGATGAGTTCCAGAATCAATTGTCTTTGCTATTTTCTTCGCTGATCTCAGTATAAAATGTCGACCACACAATGAAATCTGTAGATTACATCAAAGTAGACATACTGGTAATGCTGAAGAGGCTGCAGATATCAGCCAAGAGGAACAGAGCCTTTCTGAGTTAATAGAAGTGACACTAAAGCTTATACTACAAAGTGCAGGTCACACACTTAAGATATAGGACCAGTCACACCAGTTCTTGTGATAAATTGGGATGCTGTGAGAGAGAATTCACCAGGAAAGAAATTCAGTAGATAGTCAGTTGCAGAAAGATATTGGGTTTTTCAGTTCTGAGGTAAGAAAGAGAAAATTAAGATCTTTAGAATGCAGAGATGACTGGCAGCATTAATGTCTTCATGTCTTTGCAGGAGGTCCTAGTGTTCTCACTATTCATTTTCAAACACAGGTGCTGTTGAAAACCAAACTAAAAAAAATCATCAAAAGAAAGTCTATTATGATGAACAGAGAAATGAGAAAACTAGTTTGTGAAAAGACATACAAGAATGAAGTGGGATGAATCTGAAAGTGTTTGAACTGAAAGCAAAAGAAAATTTCTTAAGAGCAGGACTCTTCTCTTAAGTTACCTTCTAAGAAACAATTTATGTAAGGGAGCAGACTTGACCCAGTACAGTTTTCTTTCTCATTTCTTAAGCTCTTCTACCACTAACATAACTTTTAAATAGACATGGGGAAAATAAAGAAATGAGAATGGGGAAAAAAAAAAAATCCAAACCTCTAATCCTTTAGAGGGAAAGTGAGTCATTGATTTAAATAAGTTCCATCAACATTTCTGTAGCATTCTAAACATTCTCAGAACTTACTTGGTTTTTGACTGATAATACAAATAATCCTTTAGCTGTCTACAGCATTAAAGCTTTGTCTTGAGCCAGTGCAATCAATTAAAAATATTTTGTATGAAAATTCAAATGATCTCACCCATGTACATTATCTTTCTTAGATCAACTTTGCTTTTACTGTTATGATGTG